AATCACTTTAGACTCAGGACCCCACAGCGGTGGAGGATAGAGAACCCTTGTCCTGGCCGGGCCCGGGCCGCCGCAGGACATCTCTCTGCCTCTCTTCAGGGGTCGCCCCAGCCCTTCTCTGGGTGGAATCAAGCATGTCACCCAGAACTTTCCAGACTCAATCATGTCAACTCCCCTAATGGTTCCTCTGGGGTCCTATTTTTAAAGAGACTTTCAGTTTCTCTGCTCTGAATCCTCTCTCTCTCTCTCTTTTTTTTTTCTGTATCTGTTACAGTGCAGGTACCAGCCCTCACCGATGGTGGGATGTCTTGGCCATCACATTTGTCCCATCTCAGAAGCGGCAGGAGCGGTGGCCAGAGTCAGGCCAGGGTGAGTTCCTCAAGGCCCATCTCCCTGACTCTCCCCGAGCACAGGCCCCTCACTGTGATTCCAGTGCTGTCTGTCCACCGGCGGTTGGCCCAGTGTCGCTCATGGGGTGGTCGTTCCGGTGAATGACTTAGTTCTCACAACAGGCGCTTAGTGATGTGACCAGCATTCTGCCCTGGCTGCCGACCTTCAGGACCTGATAGCCCTGTTAGGGCTCCTGGGGAAATGTTTGCTGTGTGAATAAATACATCCCTCACTCCAGCCTTTCCTGCTGCCCAGCTGCAAATGATGACACTTCAAAAATAATGTTAAAGCACTGTCTCCACTGGATGTTTCCATATGGGTCCAATCAGGAGGCAGAAACCACACGGTAGTTTGAACAAGGGAAGTTAACTATAAGGAATTATTCAGCAATAATAGGAGATTGACTCTAAAGATGGAAAGAGAGCTCTAGAGGTGCCCTGGGGCAGGGGAGGCACCCGAGAAAGGGCAGACTTGGAAGGGGGTTCATAGTGCTTGAAGCAGGTGTGTTTGAGGGGGGCAGTCACTGGATGGGACAGAAGTCCCTGATGGCCTCAGCCAGAGCTGGCCCATGTCCCCAGGCAGCAGAAACATGTCCCTCCAGAGCACAGGAGAGCAGGAGGGCACACAGAGAGGTCAAGACACTGCTGCCAATGTGAGGCTGGGAGCACCCCAGTGTCCCCATGGGGGTCTGCACCTGGGTGGTTACCAGCCTAGGCAAAGGCTTTGAGGCTGCCTGTGTGTTAGGGCAGCACACCACTGGGGGGAGAGACAGACAGACAGACAGACACACACACACACACACACACATCACTGATGATGCAACAGGAGTGAAAAAAACAGACCCCTCACACCAAAATGAGAGAACGTGGCCTTTTCCTGCAATGTCCCTCTCCCACCCTCTACTGACAAAGCTCAGTACTGCACTCAGGCAATAATCTGATAACTGGCGCTCTGGGTAAAAACTGGTATTTGTCTGCAAGATAGAATTACATGAAGTAATTAGAAAATACCTCTTAGAAGACTGTTTAGTGCCCTGAGAAAATCCTCATGATATATTAAGTGAAAAAGCAAATTACAGAAGTAATTAGCACACTGTAATCCTAACTTTTTGAAAAATAGAGCAAGAAAAAGAGCAAGTCTCTTTGTTAGAAACAAGGCTCTCGAATGTCTTCTCCTTATTCGCACTGCCTGTCATCCTCTCCCATGCTTCCCCGTGATCTGGTTAGAGTGAGAAAGCGAGGCAAAGGCCGGGCGGTGATGGTCAGCTTATATTGGTTTTAACTGCTCTCCTGTCGCCTGCCCCGCCCCCGGCCCAGGAGGCGCAGGGGGGGTATCTTGTTACATAGAATCTCAGCCAGCAAACACCAACCGGCCGCCTTCCCACTTCTTTCCGCCGGCCGAATTCCCCAGTGATCCCGGCCGTCCCCACCTCAAGCCCCGAGAGCCGGAGAGGGCTGGGACCCCGCTCAGGGCAGGGCGCGAGGAGAGGCGCGTCCGCCACCCCGCGGGCCAGCAGGGGGCGGCGGCGCCGAGAGGTGGGCGTGCGGAGGCCGGCGGGGCCTGGCTGCGGGCTTCTCGCCCTGGGAGCCCTAGCAGGTTGGCAGCAGGACCCAGCTTTTGTTTTAACTCGTGTGTGTGTGTGTTTCGTGGAACACTGGGAAATGATGATATAGAGACATACGAAAAGTGTCCACATTTTGGTTCGCGCTCCCGCGCCGGGACGGCGGGGCGCGGGGCGGGCCGGGAGGCGGGAGGTTGCGGGGAAGGACCTGGCGCGGCGGCCGCAGCGGCGGGAGCGAGGGCGCTGGCGGAGACGCCGGCTTCTCCTCCCCTCCCCAGCGGTGTTACAGCCTGGAGGAGACACGCCCGCCGTTAGCACTTTCCGCAGAGGCTGACAGTTGGTGAACACCTGCTCTTGATCGTAAGATTTAGAAGACGGTCTCCACCTTCCAGATTGGATCTCTCTTCATGTGGATCTTCTGTGTCTATGTCTTTTAAAACAGATTTGTGGGAAACATGTTGGATTACAACTGTTCATCCTCATCTATGCAAACAAAGGAAAGCTATTGTGCTGGGATTTTGAGGAGGAACTTTCCCAGGGGTGGCCCTTCTTACAAGTGTAAATAAAAGGTCTCAAGTGTGCTGCATTAGTGTCCTCCCACGTGGCAAGTAATACTCTGAACAGGGGAGGCAGGCTGATCTTTTTCTAACAGGATTCCAGTACACCTTAGAAGTGCTTGAGGACGAGTGATAAAGGCAGGCATGAAGCCTCCGTCTCACAGCTGCATGTGTAGTTACTGTTGAAGCAATCCCTGCTTAAGTTGACAATGTTGGTGTGTTTAAATTTTTTTGAGTTTGCAAATAAGCATATTAAGTCTAGTGATGGAGCCTTCAGGCAGTGAACAGTTACTTGAGGACCCTGATCCTGGAGGCAGATCCCAAGATGCAGAGGCCGGAAAGCAGACAGAATCAGAACAAAAGTTGTCTGAAATGACCCACAATGCTTTGGAGTACATTAATGCGATTGGCCAAGGCTTGAAGCATCTCTCCCAGCACCAGCGCAGGAGGTCATCAGTGTCTCCACACGACGTGCAGCAAATTCAGGCAGATCCAGAACCTGAAATGGATCTGGAAAGCCAGAACGCATGTGCTGAGATTGATGGTGTCCCCACCCGCCCCGCAGCTCTGAATCGTGTCCTGCAGCAGATCCGAGTGCCACCCAAGATGAAGAGGGAGACGAGCTTGCATAGTAGGCGGGGCAAGCCAGAGGCCCCAAAGGGAAGTCCCGAAATCAACAGGAAATCTGGCCAGGAGATGGCAACTGTTACGCAGTCAGGCCAACCAGGTCTTCATCCACTGCCGATGCTCCCACCAGCTCCGCCGTGATGGAAATAGCTTGTGCCGCTGCTGCTGCCGCTGCCGCTGCGTGTCTGCCAGGGGATGAGGCGTCTGCAGAGTGGATAGAGCAGTTGGAAGTAGGCAGCCTCGCCCAGACTTCCAGTGCAGTGGCCTCCAGCACCGATGGCAGCATCCACACAGACTCTGTGGATGGAACACCAGACCCTCAGCGCACAAAGGCTGCTATTGCTCACTTGCAGCAGAAGATCCTGAAGCTCACAGAGCAGATTAAGATCGCGCAGACAGCCCGGGACGACAACGTTGCTGATTATCTGAAGCTTGCCAACAGTGCAGACAAGCAGCAGGCCGCCCGTATCAAGCAGGTCTTTGAGAAGAAGAACCAGAAATCTGCCCAAACCACCCTCCAGCTCCAAAAGAACCTTGAGCGCTACCACAGAAAGCTCCGAGAGGTGGAGCAGAATGGGATCCTCTGGCAGCCAAAGGACGTCTTCAGGGACATGCACCAGGGTCTGAAGGATATGGGAGCGAAGGTGACCAGCTTCATTGAAGGTGTAGTGGACAGTGTCAAAGGTGGACTTTCCAGCTTCTCCCAGGCGACCCATTCAGCAGCAGGGGCTGTGGTTTCAAAGCCCAGAGAGAGTGCCTCACTGAGTCGGAATAAGTTTGGCAGTGCAGACAATATCCCTAACCTGAAGGGCTCTTTCGAGGAAGGACAAGTGGATGATGGGGGGAAGGCTTTGGGAGTGATTTCAAACTTTCAGTCGAGCCCCAAATATGGTAGCGAGGAAGATTGTTCTAGTGCCACCTCTGGCTCAGTGGGAGCCAACAGCACCAGTGCAGGCATCGCTGGAGGATCGTCCAGCTCCAAAACAAACACCCTGGACATGCAGAGCTCAGGATTCGATGCACCGCTGCATGAGATCCAGGAGATCCGGGAAACCCACGCCAGACTGGAGGAATCTTTTGAGACCCTCAAGGAACATTATCAGAGTGACTATTCATTAATAATGCAGGCCTTTCAGGAGGAGCCACACAGATGTGAACGATTAGAAGAACAACTGAATGACCTGACAAAGCTCCAACAGAACGAAATCTTGAACTTGAAGGAGGAATTGGCCAGCATGGAAGACAAAATTGCATATCAGTCCTTTGAATGGGCCTGGGACACCCAGGAGGCCCTGGAGGGGTGCCAGACCCGCATCTCTAAGATGGAGCTGCAGCAGCAGCAGCAGCAGCAGCAGCAGCAGATGTTGCAGCTGGAGGGGCTGGAGAACGCCACGGCGCGCAACCTGCTGGACAAGCTCATCAGCATCCTCCTGGCGCTCATGGTTGTCCGCCTGGTCTTCATCTCCCCAGTGGCCAACTGCGTGGTCCCGCTCATGAAGACGCGCAACAGGACGTTCAGCACTTTATTCCTTGTGGTCTTCATTGCCTTTCTCTGGAAGCACTGGGACGCCCTCTTCAGCTACGTGGAGCGGTTCTTTTCCTCCCCGAGGTGATGCTGGCCCCAGGAGGCCATGCTCCCTACCGTCTGGCCAGTGCATGCAGCGAGGACTCAGACAGCAGCATACCTACTCTGAAGTTTTCTACAGCAACAAGAGAGTTGAGTGAATTCATTTACATTTAGAATAATGTTTTTTTCTTCAAAAGACGCAATTGCAATAGTATTTTTTAGATTTTATCCAAGAAGTTTTTTTTGGGGGCAAAAATCTTGGATCATTTTTATGTAGCATGATTTTCCTTGGGATGCAGATCGTAAACAGCCCTTAAACATGAACCAACAATGTGGAGCACACCGAAGGGCGTTCTGAACTGTGGCTTGACGGGCTGCACTGAAACCCGGTGAGGGAAGCCAGTTAAACCCAACACCCTGCCTTGTCTGGGCTCACCACCTCTCCCCTCCCAGACTGACTTTCCTGTGAAGTCCTACCACATTCCATGTCTGAATTTCTGGATTCAGGGTGGATTTCCCTTGTCCGTGTACAAACACATGGATGTCCCTGGCTTTCTCACCCAAGTTGGCCACTCACCTAACTCTGGAAGTGTGATCACTGTTGAACCTGGTCCCTTACCTTTGCTGGGATACAGGAGTGAGAGCATCATGCCCCAGAGGATCACTGCACAGCCCTACTACATACAGTATTTCGAAGTAGCCCTCTAAATACTTAATGTTAAGCAAACCCCATGGCCGCACTTTTAAGGTTTTTTTTTTAAATATGTGTATAGTCACCAATTTAAAAAACAAAAAAATCTGAACAGCATACTTGAAGAATGCAAACTCAGATTCCCAGTACTCCCTTACGGTTTCTAATAGGATTTTTTATTATTGTTATTATTATTACTGGGTTTTTTTGGAAAGGGTTGGGAGGGGCTTTTATTTTTCCTTTAAAATAAAGAAGTGATGTTTTCAAATGAAAAAAAAGTCTGTATTTTGAAAAATGCTTCAAATAACTCAAATGCCCTTATCTCACAGCAGCTTTTCTTCTACTGGTGACTGATTTCTGTTACAAGTAAGAGTGTGTCCTCATGAAAATATCAGTGCCTACATATATACATATACATATATACCCACATATACTTACATATACACATACACACAGGCACGCACATATTAATACACACATAGCACAAATATATCCATATGCATACATATACGTGCACATAATATACACACACATACATATACCTGTACATATACATATACACAATACACATAGTACACATATGCACACATATGTATACCCACAAATGTATATCCATCCATATATAAATTACACATATGCATGTAATATACACATACTTACACCTACATGCACACAATGTAAATATATACACATATACAGACACAGGTACATGCACGTACCTACACATTTACATTACACATAGTAATCACACATATATGTGCACACAACACACGCACACAACGTTCATGCATACACACGGTATACATACTTGCATATACATACACATAACACACACGCACACATACACACACACACACGTTGACAGAGATCTGAGGATTCTGTGCCGTGGATGCAGCAGCTCTCATCTCTTCGGGATGAAATTATGGACAGTTTGTTCCATCCGGGGCTTTTCTGTGATCTCCACAATTTCTGCGGTTATTCATTCCTTCTGCATTAAGGCGGAAGTTCCCATGACATGCCTTCTGCTGTTTCCACTACAGCGTTTAAAACTGGCCCCGGAGCCGCTCGGGAGTGGGGCTTGGCCCGCTCCTCCGCCGAGGTGACAGTGACTGCACAGAGGGTGTCTCTCCCGTCTCGGCCCCCGATGAGGCAGTGGTGCCGCAGATGGCAGCGGGGAGGGTCCTCTGACCCGCTAACGGGCTGTGTCCGGACTCAGCCGGGCCTGCTTTCCTTTCAGGGGTCGCTCTTGCGTTTTCTCAGCCAGGGGAGCCCCGACCCTCTCTGACAATTATTACTTCATGTCAAGAGGCTGCCGTGCGGAGCTGTCTAAATCTGACGGGGGAGCCAGAGCAGCCCCCGTCAAACTCGGGGGCATGAGGCCCCGGCACAGGATTAAAGGTTCCGGAGTTTTCTGTGCAAAGACGTAATGGCCTCTTTCCTGTGCCCCCTCCTCCTGGCCTCCTGGCAGCCGCCCTCCAGCCTGCTGCTGCTCTCTTGAGTTGGAGCAGAGGCCTCAGATGACAGCACCATCTGGGCTGGCGGCTGACTGTCAGACAGGACAGAGGAGCTGACGCTCCCGGAATTTGTGCAAAGAGGAAGTGGAGAGGGCTTCTCTCTCCCTGTGGTGAATAAAACCCACTCAGAACCCTGGGCGTCCTGCAGGCTTACCACAGGAGGGAGCAAGGGTGCCTCCCGTCACTTCACTGGCTCTTGTTTACAGAGTGTAGACCACGTGCTCCGAGCTGCTCTGGGCCTTCTTGGAAGGGGTCATTCCTCTGAGAGGAAAGCAGGGGTCACTGAGAAAGATGAGGGAGGCTGGCCAGCAGCTACCCGGGCCCTCCACCAGTGTGTGTCTCTAGAAAAAGGTCACCTGGATGGCAGACCAGCCTGGCTCCAGGAAGCACCTCCTTGGGCAGAAGCTCAAGCTGAAAAGCACCAACGATGTTGAGCTTGCGACTTCTCCTGCCTCGCTCCACGTGTGCCCGTGGGGGTGGCCGTGAGGAAGCGCCGCCGCTTCCAGGCAGTGCTGAGAGCCGCCCTTGGTTTGCACGGATGAGTCTAGAATAAAGGCGGTTGATCACAACGATGGCTAATACTTTCCAAAGCCTTACCACATGCCCTAAAGACGTGCTTGCAATGGGTTATTTCATTTAAATCTGTCTTTCAACACGTACCTGAGCACCTCCGGGGTGCCAGCAAGGTGCTACGTGCTGTGATGCAGCCATGGATGGAGACGAAATCCCGCAGATAAACCATCTGTGGTCCAGACACACGATGGAATAGTGTTCAACCTTAGAGGAAGGAAATCGGCCACGTGCTGCAACATCAATGACCCTTGAGGACGGGATGAAGCCCGCTGCCATCACGGGGCATGAGAGCGCTCCCTGCTGGTCTCCCGACACTCTTTATTGAAGTTCCCATTGATTAATTCTTCACGATGGGCACAGAATTTCTCTTCTTCAAGGCTGTAGTTCTGGAGATGGGTGACAGTGATGGTTGCACAGCAGAGTGACAATACTTAATGACACTGAGCTGCACACATAGAAATGGCTAAGGTGGGCAATGTTATGGTTTGTGTACTTTACCACAGTTTTAAAGAAGGAAAGTCCCTGCTCTCAAGGGGAGGGGTCCGTGTCCTCACCGGGGCGCTTGTATTCCAGCGGATTATGTTGAATACGGCGCTGGGTAGTTATCTACTGCCCACAGCGACCCCAGCCAGGGCACAGGCCGGTGAGACGTGCCCCCAGGCCCACGTCAGTTCTGCATGAGGCACCCTCTCTGCTTTACTAGCCGCCAGCCTGTCACTGCCCTTCTTCCAGTGCTCGGTGCGGCCCGCCCTGGTCAGGTGGGGTTTGAGGTGGCAGGTGGCTCTTCCTGGGGTTCTCTGAGCCTGCCCCTCAGGATGGAAGCAGGGAACAGGTGCATGTGATCATTTGTGAGGTCCCTGAAGACAGCCTTCCCAAACAAGCAGAAGATGGGCCTGGCCTTTGGCTCATTTAAAAATAATTGAATTAAAAAAGGAAGCTGGCAATAAAGAGTCTCCTGGGACCCAAGCGGGAGTGCCCTAAGGGACCATTCTGAGTTTGAATTTGCCTGCTCCCAGCAGGGAGGGGGGCTCTAAGAATTCTGCGGTCAGAGCCTCCAGGAGGCCTGGCTCAGGTGCCTGGTTGAAAAGCTGGTGTAGGGCGAGTGGTGGGAGGAGAGCCTGCGCACACGACCTGCTCCAGAAAGATGCACAAAGCACTTCTATTTATACATTAGGAATAGAGAGCGGCTCACAGGGCTTGTTTTTAAAGGCTGTGCACCAGCATCTGTCTCAGTCAGGCTGTCCCTCAGAGGGTGGGCGAGGGCAGACCTTGGTGGACTGAATGTCACGCGAGGCTGGGTGCAGGGCCTCCACAAGGGGCCTGGGGGCAGAGGCAAGGCCAGCATTGTCACCGTCCCCCGATCCATGCCCTTCCTGAGACCAGCCTGTGACGGAAGAAGGGCTGGCCTCTTTAAGCCCCTGCTAGAACGCAGGCTGGAGCTTTGTGCGCTGCTAGTAAATGGTACACCGTCATGGCGCATGGTGGTTACCGAGCCACGCCCCTCGCTGGGAGCCCCTCTTCCTGTTCTCAACCCTCACAAGCCCTGGGGCTGGGTTGAGAGCAGAGCAGGGCTGTGCACTGCTGGTTCCAGAGAGCCTGTCCCAAACGCAGCTTCCTTTAATCAGCCAGCACTTGCATAACCAACCACTGCCTCTGCCTGGATGTCCCCAAGCGCCCCATCTTTTATGGGGGAACATGACACCATACCTTTAACGCCCTATTAAACAACCTAAGATTCCATTTTCCCTCCATTGTGAAAACAGCACAGCCCCTCCTCACTCAGTCCAAAGGCCATGCTCCTCTAGAATAATTGGGGGATTGTCTTGCTTCTCTGGTGACGGCCACGTGCCAGCCTGCTTTCCTGATGCCCCTGGGTCCCGAGCTGCCAGCCCCAAGATCCTGCCTGCTTCCTTCATGCCCTGGGGAACATCCGCTCCAGCGTCTTCCTGACAATCCGCGACAGCAGAGGTGGATTCATTACAGAGCTGACAGGCGACCACTTAACATGTGGACATGCCTGTCCCAAGGGGCCCCCAGTCCTTCCAGGAACCTCCTCACTGGCCATCTTCTTAGGATGCTGCCCAGCCCCTCTCTTCATCCCAGGGCTCCCCCTACCCCTCCAATCCTCCAGGGAAATTCCAGTTTTATTGCTCGAATCACTGGTGCTTTTTCATGCTAAGCTTCGAACCCTGCTTTGGCTAAACCCCTTCCACCTGGGTAACGCCTTTGGAGGGCAGAAGCAGGTAATTCTTTTAAACCCCAAAGACCCAAGAAAGCCCACCTAGGGCTTTGGCGCCTACCCTGGAGCTCCGCCTTGTCTCTCCACCTGCACAGCTGTGACTCCATGCGGGGACAGACTCAGGTCGGGGAAGGGCCAGTAGGGGGACGCCACGTGTCACAGCTGCCTCTCCGGAGTTTGTCGGCCAAGCCGCTGGGTGGGGTCACCCCGTCTTGAGGACGAGAGGCCGTCCTGCTAAGTGTTCTCGCTCGTTGCTTCTCTGGGGAGCGGTTCTTCCACGGAGAAGTTCTGTGCGGAGTGCATCTTTGGTTTCAGATCTGGCTGCCAAAGCCAGACAGGGAAGCTTTCTCTCGTGATTGATGGCTCCTCTCTGTGCTCCAGATGGGATCATAGCCGGTTTGGAAAACTGAGACCCCTCCTCGGAGACCATCATTAGGTCTCTGTCAAAGGCAGGATCCTCCCACGTTCCAGCTGAAGTCTGAGGGTGGGGCAGAGCCTCAGGGACTCCCAGTGATTCTGAGTCAGAGAGGACGGCGGGGAGACAGGCCTCCTGCAGGGTGTTGTTCACATGGACACACATACACACACATGCACATGCGCGTGCACACACACGCACACACTCTTGCACACCAACTCGCATGTGTGCACGTGCATATACTAACACAAACAGCTGCACACACATGCGTGCACACCCATGTACGTACGCACTTACAAGCACGCCCTTAGCTGGTCCTGCACACTCACAGTCACACACACAGGTGCCCAGGGATCCATGTACACAGCAGTCTAGCTTCAGAAAGAGCAGTTCTTCAAGTACATTCTGTCCAAACTTGTAGGTGGTGGATGAGAAAGGCTGCAGAAGAGTGTAGCCCCCCAGTCAGGCCTTTGTGGGATGGGAAGAGTATGAGGTCTGAAAGGGCTGGGGGAACAGAAGGATCTGTGTCTTCGCAGATAGGTGGG